TGCTGCATGATTAGCATGCTCTTTTTTATTAAAGGTATCTTATCTCTGGGAGGAGTCAGTCCCTATATTATCTGTCCTTTTTCAGAATTCTTCCTTGTAAATTTTAGAAATCCATTTGTGGTGTTGCCTTCACGATTCATGTGAATTGGAATTATATTGACTATGGATTAGCTTGGATGAAACAGAATTTTACAATATTTAGTCATTCTGGTAAAAGACATTCGTAAGATACCAAGCAATTTAATAATAGTGGTTAACTAGATTTGAGATTCTTCTTAAAAATTTAGGTTCTTGCAGACTATTCCTGTTAAATTATAATTTCTAGAGATGGGTGTCTGGGAATAGGAATTTGTAATTAAACCCTATATTAATTCTTTCCAGACACATTACAGTCTTAATTGTGGTGGGTTCTACTTCAGAATCCAATCTGTAAGGAAGGAAGATGGACTCAGCTTCCAATTCAGACATAGGGTAATTATGTTCTTGGATTCTATTTCCCAGGCTCCTCAACTAAGGCCACATTTGAAAAACTGGTAACATTTTTTCATAATAAAGTTGACTACTAATTAAACCCAAGGCAATGTCTCCAAGGCAGTAGCTTTTGCCTCAGGAGTCCAGTGATCACAGTACAGGTTTCTGATAATTACACCTCATTTTGGTCACCAGAACTTCTAAAGATAGTGACTTAGGCTGCAGGAGCTGAGAATGCTGATGGATAGAAGAGGCTAACTTTATTGATGAAGATGAGGACTCTGTCTTAAGGCAGATTTCTTCTCTTCTGCTCTTATATCCTCAGGCTCTGATACATAGCTTAGATTCTCCTTGGCAGGAAACCTCATAGATTCAATAGTTGCTTATTTCTAAATTGGAGGAGAACAATGTAGGCACTTATTGAGCAGCAGGAACACTGATCTGGTCTGGGGCTTTGCGGGGCCTGGACCCTGAGTGATGCGTAGTACTTGAGAACATTTCCTCCTCACCTCCATGGAGATCAGTGATGTTAGCTCAGGACAGTGGCAGCAATAAGAAGAATCAGAAGCTACTTTTTAACCAAGATATTAAGAGTAATTAGAGTTCCTTGGTAGTGCAAATGGTTAATGCATTCAGTTGCTAACCAAAAGATTAGAGGTTCGAGTCCACTCAAGTTGCCTGGAAGAGAGGTCTGAAGATCTACTTTCGAAAATTCAGCATTGAAAACCCTATGGAGCAGTTCTGCTCTGACAAACATAAGGTCACTATTGACAGCAACTGGTGGTAAGAATTATTGGGCATAGTTCTCTGAATTTTTCTTGATGGTCATACCGGTTCATTCTTGCCCTCATCTCGATGTTCTTTTCTTTCTTTCTTATTTAATTTTTTTTAAGATTGGCTGACACATGACTTAAATGAAACATATACTTGTCAAATCTCCACTTCTCTCTCTGTGTACTCTGGTGGCATGTTTTTAGCTATAACTGAAATCTTATGCTCAAACTCCAGTTTAATAAGACAATTGGGGGAAATTTAGGATCTTCATGTGTGCCTAAGAAGATAGAAAGTCCACTTCTTTATTTTCTGAGGCTGTCTACATAATTTCTCTCTACTAATTGATTGATGATTTCCCTTAAATAAATGTTTGAATTTCTCTAGTTTTGATACAAAAACTCCATGAATGTCTCCCTTTTGAGGTTCCTGGGACCTCACATATTGCATTGCCATTTAAATCTATATTGCATGAAGTCCCAGTGGAGCATCTGATGTGTTAGAAAAATTGGACACATATGTGTTTTCTCCAGCGATTACAACCTGAATCCCATCCATAGGTTTTGAACTTAAGAATAAGGGAGATTTTAGGGATCACCAAACTAGAGAAAGGGCTCTTAGGGGTCAAAATATTCAACTGCTACCATAGTCAAAACCCCTTCTGCTATATATTGTTCAGACAATAAGGAGACTCTGTTTTAGTACCTTCTTTGCATCCTAGTGGTTTATTGCAGTTATTGTTCACCCTACCCCCTTCAATTTTTAAATATGGAGACAATATCCAAGTTAACTACCTTGTCCGAAGTCACACAAAGCTAGAAATAAAGCCTAGGTCTTCTCACTCCCTGGGGAAGAATCTTTCTGCTTATTTTATAGCCTGTGGTTAGTGGGTAGAAGACCATTTTTTTGTTTTTCTGCTCTATAACTTCCTACTACACTGATGATATACATTCTGGTGGTTTCTGTTGTCTTCCTGAGCAGCTGTACTGAGGAGTTTGGGTCTCCATACGTCATGATAAGAGCAAAAATATCAATCACATAATTCATTGAGGATGTAGGGTTATATTAATACTATTTAAAAAAAAAAAAATCCACTTAACTGATATCTATCCTCATGGATCTGAGCAACAATCCAAACTTGACTTTCTTTGGTATTGGGTAGATTCAGGCAATGCTTCAGAATCAGAGAATCCCAGCTTTCATGGTCTATTCTATATTCCATATTCAGTGGAGTTAGAGCATAGAGGAGGATAAAGGTGGACTAGTTAAAAGGAGATCTAGTTGAAAATCTTTGGGGAAAGTGATGAGACAAAGATAAACAATGGCCATGACCTTAGATTTCCCCCAGTGTCTTGAAATAGACAAAAATCCTTCTGATCAGAAGGAGGTATTAAAGTAGGGAAAGTTTTTGACTCTACCAGATATATAGAAAACATATTATTAATTTATAATAAATGAGGATATATAGGGTATATAATTCCTTTATATTTACATTTAGTGCTAATCTCTTTAAGTAGCCTGGGCGGTGCAAGTGGTTTGTGATTGGCTGCTAAACAAACGTTTGGCAGCTAGAACTCACCCAGCGGCTCCACAGGCTATAAAGATTATAGCCAAGAAAACCATGGGGAGAATTTCTACTCTGTAACACATGGGGTCTCCATGAGTCAGGGGCTGACTGGAAGGCAACTAACAAAAACAACAGTCATCTGTTTATACTTACAGAGTGAAAAAAATCCTATTACTTATGTTAAATAATTTTTAAACCAGAGGCTGTGGGCACACTAGGACTAACTTCAATAAATGAATGCTTATCACTAGTAAACTTAGAGTTAGTTTCTAATAAGTAATAAAGAGCAAAAATTATTATCTCTAAATTCTAGGGACAGAAGCAATGAGGTTCAGAAACACTCAATGATTTAACTTAAGCTCTAGAAAGTAAAAGGTTACTATCAACAAGAGAAATGCCAAAACAAAAATTCCTGGTAGAAGATGCAAATAATTCCTTAACACAAAATAACGTAAAATCCTGAGAAGTATATAAATAATGACTGAATGTGCCCAATGCATGCTAGATGATTTTGCATCCAGACAGTGGTGTTTTAGTTATTAGGTTGCACAGTTAAAAAAATGCACCTATGAAAAAATTATCTGACTTTAGGCCTCAAAAGGACTTTAGAAATATTCTCTTACAGTAGGTTGCGAACACACCCAGCGGCTCCATGAGAGCAAGACCTGACAATCTGCTTCTGTAAAGATTACAGCCAAAAAAAACCCTGTGGAGTAGTTTTACTCTGTTGCATGGGATCACTTTGAGTTGGAATTGATTTGGTGGCACACAACAAAAACAGCAACTCTTTGCAAACTATGTTTACTAGCAGAATGTTCAAAATAAATTTTTTAAGTATAACAATATATAAAATATTTAAAGACTAAGGTTATAGCAGGAAAGTGGGACCCGGTCAACTCCCAATTGTCTGTTCTTTCTCACTGTCTCTGGCAAGCTCTAAGCCATTCTTGAGTTTCTCTGAGTCACCTCAGAACAGGAAAAGTGAAGTGTGTTGCAAAATACCACATAGTAAATCAGTGTCTTCCTACCACTCTGGCAACTGTTCTCTCCCTGAAAAGAATTGTTTCTTTAATGTTCTCTTCTGATCCACCCTTGAGTCAGTGTTTTTGTTTGTGGAACCTCCTCTAATATTCCTAATTGGCCTGTTGTCAGTCTATCAGAAATATAACTATTATCGTTTAGGGTTTTTATATGGGATTATTGTAAGGAATAATTGAGACGTGTATCAATTTGGCTGGGGCATGATTCCCAGTATTGTGTGATTGTCCCTCATTTTGTCATCCGATGTGATTTTCCGGTGGTGTAAATCCTAGCACTATCATGTTAATGAGATGGATTAGGGAAGGTTATATTGATGAGGTCTACAAGATTAGATTGTGTCTTAAGTCAATCTCTTTTGAGATGTAAAAGAGAGAAGCTAGCCAAAAGACAGGGTGACCTCATTCCACAAAGAAAGCAGTGCAGGGACCAGGGAGTGTCCTTTCAATCTGAGGTTCCTGTGCAGAGAAGCTCCTAGTCCAGGGGAAGATTGATGAGAAGGACCTTCCTCCAGAGCTGACAGAGAGAGAAAGCCTTCCCCTGGAGCGGATGCCCTGAATTTGGACTTCTAGCCCACTAGACTGTGAGAAAATAAATTTCTCTTTGTTAAAGCCATCCACTTGTGGTATTTCTGTTACAGCAGCATTAGATAACTAAGACAACAGGTATATTATAAGCTTACCACATATATTAGCATATAATATGTAAACACTAGCCTTCTCACACCTTTGCTCAGAGGTCATCTAATTTTTCCTCTCCCTTCTCATTTTATGGTTGGATAAATTGAGGTTCACATATTTGTGTCTGAACACAACTTTTTCTTTTATTCCACATTCTGATTAGGTGCAGATATGTGAAATTAAGCACATTTTCACTTTATGAGGGCTGTTTCCTTGGGCTTGTAGTAACCAAGAAAAACACAATAAGCCATAAATAAGATACAAGGGGAAACTATTAGACAATTCCTGAATCCTTGGCTAGACAATTCCTAATCCTTCTCAGTCTTAGAGAAATCCTCCTGATGGGCTCTCAGTTATTCTGTTGCATAATTAACCTTATTCTTCTTTTAGCAGACATTTTTGAGAGGGAATGAAGGAGTTCCACCAAACATCTGGAAATGTCTGCTCCCTGCAAACTTTGTGCTGAATTGCCCATACATTTCTACTTTTCCTCATCGTCTGCTCCTGACTTTCCTCTACAGCAGCGCTCTCCATGGCTGGGGTCAATGAGACGGTGGTGAGAGAGTTTGTCTTCCTGGGCTTCTCATCTCTGGCCAGGCTGCAGCAGCTGCTCTTTGTTATCTTCCTGCTCTTCTACCTCTTCACTCTGGGCACCAATGCCACCATCATTTCCACCATTGTGCTGGACAGGGCCCTTCACACTCCCATGTACTTCTTCCTCGCTGTCCTCTCTTGCTCTGAGACCTGCTACACTTTCGTCATTGTACCCAAAATGCTGGTTGACCTGCTGACCCAGAAGGAGAGCATCTCCTTCCTGGGCTGTGCCATCCAGATGTTTACTTTCCTCTTCCTTGGCTGTTCTCACTCCTTCCTGTTGGCAGCCATGGGTTATGATCGCTACGTGGCCATCTGTAACCCACTGCGCTACACAGTGCTCATGGGACATGTGGTTTGTGTGAGACTAGTGGCTGTTGCCTGTGTCTGTGGCTTCACTGTCTCCCTGGTCACTACCTCCCTGGTATTTCATCTGCCCTTCCACTCTTCCAACCAACTCCATCACTTCTTCTGTGACATCTCTCCTGTCCTCAAGCTGGCATCTCAGCACTCCCGCCTGAGTCAGATGGTCATATTCATGCTTGGTGTGTTTGTCCTGGTTATTCCACTGTTACTTATCCTGGTCTCCTACATCTGCATCATCTCTGCCATTCTAAAAATCCCTTCCTCTGTGGGAAGGTACAAGGCCTTCTCCACCTGTGCCTCCCATCTCATTGTGGTCACTGTTCACTATGGTTGTGCTTCTTTCAACTACTTAAGGCCCAAGTCCAATCACTCTTCAAGCCAAGACACTCTGATATCTGTGTCTTACACTATCCTCACTCCATTGTTCAATCCAATGATTTACAGTCTAAGAAATAAGGAGTTCAAGTCAGCCCTTCGAAGAGCAATGGGCCAGACTTCATTTCCTGTTAATTAAACAGCCAATTTTAACTATTCAGTTAATTGTGTGCCTATTATGTGCCAAGCAAAAAGTGTGCTTTCACACATTTTCTCATTTAAGTGTCCAACTGCACTGTAACACAAGGACATTTTACATAAGAGGAAAATAAGACTGCAAGAAGTTAAGAAGCTCTAGCTTTCTACTGTCGGTAGTATGGTCTCTAACATGGCTATGCAGATGTGAGAAGGGGTTACTCAGTTCCAGAACAAATTTCATCATTACTCACTGCTCTAAATATTAGTCTTTCAAAAACTAATACATCAACTGATGAAACAAAGATATATCCAAGCTGGCTATTTGCAAGAAACAGAAGCAGAAAATGTATATATTTGTACTCTTTCCTATTTTCAGTTCTCCTTTTCCTGAAAACGACAGGCAACCTTGGTCTCACCCATTGTGCAGCAAAACTTGGTGTCTTTTTTGAGTTCCCTATGTACCCCCTCAATCTACATACTGAAATGTCTTTGTCTATTTGATTTTACTAGGGATTGTGTTGTCTTTCCTTTGTCTAAGATTGGAACCTCTTTCCTGGAGTCTCCTTCCTATGTAATTCTCTCCTATACCATCCTACTATTAATTATCTTTAAGGCAGCTACTCCAAAACAACCCATTGCCGTCGAGTCGATTCTGACTCATAGCCACCCTATAGGAGAGGGTAGAACTGCCCCATAGGGTTTCCAAGGAGTGCCTAGTGGATTTGAACTGCTGACCTTTTGGTTAGCAGGCATAGCTCTTAACCACTACACCACCAGGGTTTCCAAGGCAGCTGTTAGCATTGCATAATTGCTGAAATATCTCAGGTAATTCTAAGCAAAAAGAATTGAGTAAATATTAAGAGTGTAGAAATCTAGAATCCTGGAAAGCTAAAAAAATCCTTGGAAAAACCTTTTAGTGACTCTGCTTGCTATCCAGGATGAAGTACAGAGTCCTTGGCTAGCATGAATTTATCATGTAGTCTCTGCCTACCCACCCAGCATTATAGCCTTCTGTTCCCTATATGACCCTGCAAACTGAAGGGTGAATGAGTCACTAGGTAAATGACACTACTTGAGCGAAGGGAGGGGGGAGGGTGGATCCTTTTAGACAGAAGGAGCAGAAGGTATAAATCCCTGAAATAATAAGGAGATGGATGAATCTGAGGAAAGCAGAGAAGCCAGTATAACTATTTTTTGTTTTTTTCCTTGACTCTGTCTATAATGAATATGAACTTCTTGAAGGTATGGATTTTACATTAACCACAACCTTGTTTACCCAGTTCCTTGAATAGTACCTGGCATGAAAGAGGTCAAATGTTTGTCTTATGAACGACCTTGCCTATGATTAGACAGCAGTAAGCAGGGAAGCTGCTTTCTGGCTCTAGGTCTGTGATTTTAACCAACTTGCTGTCCGTCATCAGGTCCAGACTGGCTATCTGGCTCAACTCTCTGAAGACAGTTCTAATAACCTTCAGAGGTTGGAAAGAGTCCAAATTAAGGTCACCCTATCTTGGTAAATGTAGACTTCATCCATCCAACAGCCAAGCCATACACCTTGGAGTCATCTTTACCACTCTTTTTTTAATCATACCACACATTTCATCAGCCACTAAGACCTGTAGATTCTACCAACTTAAAGTTTCTCAGTGATGTCTCTTCTTTATTTCCCTGGCCTCATCCTTCCTCTTTTGGATTGCTGCAAGAACTTCAAGTCTAGGTTCCCCCAGTACATTCTTCACTCTGCTGCCAGGGTGATCTAAATTATATTAATTAGATAATATGTTCAACACTTAGAACAGTGTCTGGCATAAGGTAAGCACTATTTAAATGTTGATTATCATTGTTATGAACATCATCCTCTTTCTAAAACTTGAATCTCATCAGGTGATGTCCCAGAATATAAATCCTTCAACAGTTCCTAATACAACTGAAGGTAAATTTTAACTCCATTAAGTTAAAATTCCTTGCTAAAAGTACTTGCTTTTCCACATGGTGACACATTTTTCATGCCTCCTTAACTTTATATTTATTATTTTGTATTTGCTTGAAATGTAGGTAGAGGCTAGCACTTATTTGAGCCCACACCACCTGATATAACACATTTCATGACAGAAACTAGGAGCTAAATGTATGTTTTTGGAATGAATCAATACATAAATGGTGTCTCTGGGCCCTGCACTGCATGCTCCCACACTATTTTTCATCCCCTAGATTTTCTCTTTGCTGCTGTCACTGCTGGATCTA